GCTGTGTGCAAGGAGCCCAAGGGCACATGTAGCCTGAAGGGAAGACTTCTGCTCTTTACATCCTGTGCCCTTACACAGGCAACATCTGCGGGTAACTTCAGAGCTGCTAGACAAGAGGAAAAGCTATTGTTCTCAGTTTTCTGAATTTTCTCCTTTTCACATATACTCAAAACTAAACAGACATAATCCAAAAGACAGAAACTACATGTAATTTTTCCTTGTATGAAGTGCCACTTTCAATATTAAAAGTCATACATGCCATTGATGAGAAAGCAAAATGTTCTCCTGGTCTGAGAAGAGTATCCGCAATTATAATGCAACTCACAACTCATCTTAAACAGAACATAGCCTCGTTATAGACCACAGCAGCGAGTCTAATAATGAAAACCATGTTGCCTTATGGCACTAATGAAAGCTGGGGTATTAAAGCTTTGCTTACAAGGTATCTCAGCTAGAAGAGACTGTGCAGCAGGCATCTTTTTCTTCATTACTGCATACAAATGATGCCTAAATAAACGTTATTGATATTATTAGTGTTTGTAATTCAAATGGAGATAGCTCAGGGCTCGCTGAAACAGTAGTTGTTATTAAGAGCAGCAAGAGAGAACTAACCTTAGAATGAAAAATGGACGAGATTTTATTCAGACTATTTTTTCATAAATTAGCACAGGATCTGTATCATTATCCATGGCGCTCGGGTTGCCGGAGTAACCCTGCCCAGGCAGCGGGTCCGCAGGAGCACAGGGCCTGTCACCATGGAGACACCGGCCGAGGGCCTGCGGACACGGCCGGAGCAGCCGGGCAGGACGCGGGGCCCTGCCTCGTTCCATGAGGGGAAGCAGCTCACGGACACCTCTGTGTGGCTCTTCTTTGAGGGGAAGGCGCCTGCAGACACCTCTGTGCAGCCCTTCCTCAGGGCTAAGGCTCTTCCAGACGCCTCTCTGTCAGTCAGACCCCGCACCACGGGCTGCAGGAGCCAGACCTGAGCTCCGCGCTGCATTAGCTGCACAGTGGGGATCAGGGAGAGGGCACTAGGAGAAAATGCTCTTGTTTTCCCAGGGAGAATTCAGGATCTCTGCACGGAAAGTGCATTTTCCATTGAGATTGCAGGAGTGGTCAGCAAGCACTGTCCTCTGATAAAACAGTATTTAAAGGGTAATGCTCAGTTACAGAATGCAGGTCCAAGTGCAACCTACTAAACACAGTGTCTCTCTTTCAGCTGCTATCCCCTCCATATCAGTTTTTAATTTTAAACTGTATGATGACTCTTATAATTTTTAACTTTTTGCAATTCTTTGCTGTATAAAAATAAGTTAGAGGAGACACATTATTACAACCTGGTTTTAAAGAAAGTCTAATATGATGGTAGATAAACACATTAAATAGCATTCTGAAAATTTCCAATTTTTGGCTAATAGCCTTAGTTTGATTTGGACAAGATTTGAAGCTGGGTAAAATAATTCTGTTGTTCTTTATGGTATTAAGAAGTACAGTAAGAGACAACCTGGTGATCTTGGAGTGGACTCAATATAGCTGGCAAACTTCATACTTCCAAAGTCATGAAACCTATTTTAGAGCATTCTCTTACTGTTAACACAGAGGCATTTCTGCCCTTCTCCTCCTACCAAGATCTCCTGACAGTAATTGCTGCTCTTCTCAGTCTAGTACACAATACAGATGGACAAAAGTGGCTGTAATCCAAGAGTGGGTTTGAGATCCCAACCATAACATCCCCTCAGGAAAACACACTTGAATAAGCTCTCTCATAGCAGGCCCTCTTTGCTGCCTTTGTGATTTCTTTTTTTCCCGTGTTTGTATTAAGACTTCTTTGAAGAATTGTTTGGCTACTGGTAGCACAATACTTCTTTAAGTGTTCAGGTGTGTATTAATAGATTAAAATTTGCTAAAGCCAGTTATTGCTAGAAAAAAAATCCTATAATGCCTGCACAATGCAATGCTTGTTCTGTGCATTTTATATTCATTGTCTCTCTGCTTGGGTCCAGCATAGTGGTATAAGTAGCAGAAAGAGAGGTTGTGGAAGGCTAGGAAAACATGCAGCTCTTAGGGAGTTAGGATGGAAAAGAAGAATTTTGAATGTTTCTCATAGGGTATGGTCAGCTTGACTTGTACAGGTGGCTTTTGTCTTTTGAGGCCATAGTTTTTGTGTTACGGATGAATACATTATCACATAGGTATTAATTTCCAGATTTATTGACTTTGCTAAAGAGTATCTGGATGTGGGGATGTGATATAAAATGATGTTCCCTAAAGCAGCTGCAAATGGTTCCAATCTGGGTTAGAAAGTTGCCTGTGTTTTTTATTGTTTTTTATTAGATTGAACAGATACAGGAAGATAATTATGCTCAGGAGTGTATTTAAAAAAAAAACAGAATGTCAAACTAAAATATGTGTTGATGCAAAAGCGTGCTTGAGGGAAAAGGCAAACTTGGGATTGATTTTATTGCTCCTTCATTATTAATTGGTGTCCTCTGTTGCTGCCCAGGAGGGCCTATGCTGGATTCATCAGGTGTTGTTCAGCTGTGCAGCATTCCTGGGTTTATCTTAATTTCCAGCAGTGGGTTTGACGTCTATATGCATCACTTACTATCATTTAAACCTGTGTCTCAATCTTTTCTCCAGTGCAGGGTGATCCATCATTCTCACTGGTAACATATCAGCCCTAAGCACAAACTTAACATGTTAAGCTCTGTAACACACTCAGAGAAAGGCAGACCATACTCAGCACTTAAGTATTCAAATAAAGAAGTAAATGTTTTGTATGATCTGCACTGAATAACTTCAGTCAACCTTGCACAGTGAAGAAGACTTTTCTCTGCTGTGTAAGAAGGAATGTTTTACATATTCAAGCCCCTTGAGAAGTAAGTAGTTGCAGTCTTGGTTGAATGGACATGGACTGTTAGCAGGCATAAACTGAAAAAATCCACATTTATGCAATATCTCACAGTCTCTTAATTCAGACACAGAATAATGAATGGCATTGCATTAGTGCAGAATTTGACCAACCGGGTAAGCAAGTTGCAAATTATATTAAAACATACACATGTTGTATGAGCCCTTCAAACTTCTCTTCATACAGTATTAGCTCCATCTGGATCCCATAGCCACTTTATTGTTATAAATGTTATTGTTCTTTTTGGCCTCTGCCTGCTGTTTGCATTTGCAGGCTGCTTGCGAGCGTCCTGGAAGCAACACCTGAAACTTTCTCCAGAGTCTTAAACTTGATAGTGTACAGGTGAAAAATGCAGGAAAAGCACATTTTCTGAAAATTGCCTTGCTAAATGTATGGTACAGATTAAAATAAACATTGTATGCCTTACTTTCCAGATGATGCTTCTAGTAATACATTTCAATGGACAGGCACATCTGTCTGATGATTCCACCAATTCTGTCCCAGGCCATATTATAGACATCTAAATGCTTAATTTGGCTAATAGCTAAAAAATAATATAGTTATTGCTTCTTCAGAGTCTTTGTTGAATATTCTTAAACTAATATTGATTGTATTGCAAGACAAATTATTAGTATTATTGTAAGCATTTTTAGTATAATTAAGTATAATTTGTGCTGTAAACAAATGTCATAGAAGTTACTGTGATCTTGTAGACTGCATTAACAGGTCTTCCAGTCTCCAGTGAGATTCATAAGACTGTTTTCCAAGGTTAATTTACAATGATGTCTTAAGTTGGGAAGTAATTTAGAATTGCGGTGTTTTTTTCTTTTGTTCTAACAGATTTTAAGTCTGGTATTTACTAATTTAAGGAATCACTTGGCAGAATTAAGGCTGTAACACTGCATTCACTGCTGCCAGCTTTCAAAATAAGGCTGACAGATGGTAAAGACATTTTGCACCGAATATCCATTAAATTCAACTGGAAGCTGAGAGCCTTATTCTTTTAGTGTCTTTAGAAATCCAATACAAACACTTTCCTGTGTATTAAGCATTCAGTAATCACCTTAGGTGTCTGGACCTCAATTCAGGCTTAAAAATGTACCACGGGAGCCACATGTTCCCAAATCAGCATTTTGTCTCAAACCTCCATGACATTATTCTTAAAATATTCAATAAAACTATGTCACAGATGGTAGATCTTATTAACATAAACTCTCCAGTTCACTTTCTTGTCTCAACATACACTGTTACGCTGGCAAAAAAATAGTGTGATGAGGACATGAAACAGTCTTTCTGTGTACATTCTCAGTTCCTGAAGCTTCTCACTATTGAAGTGAGGAAACTCCACATCTTTCAATTTTCAGTGCTTACACAGCGGTCTGCAGATTGCCCATTGAACAGTCAGTGAAACACATGCAGCCTTTCTGTTCCTCGGCACTAACTCCCTTAAGTTCTGAAACCTCATACGTCAAAATAAGCTCCTCTGCAATGCACTGCCGAGATGCCTTTTTTTTGTTCCTTTCCCACATGTGCTAATTGCAGCCAGCTGTTAAATGTCTAGTTTTAGTGGTATCTGTAGGACACTATTTATAAAAAATAATCCAAAAACCCACTCATTTATGCAAGTACGAATCAAAGTACTGCATCAATCATTCTCAGGATACGGCTTCTCCCTATAGGAAAACACTTCATACTTTCAGTAAAAGGAGAGTTTTTTCACAAATACTCTGCAAAGAGGAAAAGAAATTAATATAATGCACATCTCACTTATATTAATTCCCTGAGCCTATAGTTCACTCTGCACCTTTGCTATCCATTACTTATGTATTATACTAGCATTATGTATGTACTACGTTCTTCAAAAATCATCATAAAGGCTCAGATCCCATTTTGGCAAATATTGTATAAAAATCGGGCTTTGCATAATCATTAGAAAATCCTCAACATTATTAATTTCCTTCCAAGAAGCAGCTGGAGTGACATTGCACACAGCATGCCATGAACATGTCGCTGTCACAGGGAGAAAGGAGCATCAGGCCTCTTTATCAGTGTGTGCCTGCACTTTAACAGTAGATTATCTTTCCTACAGGTGAAGGAGGCCATGCAGAGAATCCATGACCGAGGAAATATAGGAAAACTAATTCTGGATGTGGAGAAAGCACCCACGCCCCTGGTGAGTGCATAACATGGGATGTTGTCCCACAAGTTAACGCATGCTAATGACCCTTAGAGAAATGTCACTTAAAACATTTTTGCATGCTGTTCTCTCTTAAATCTATAGCACTTGAATAGGACCAATAATCATAATTTATACTTCTAGCCTAAGGCAAATTGTAGATTCTGTCCTAGCAGTTAATTTTCTGTGCAGAATGGCCACCTGCCTCTCCAAAAAATGTGTATCTGTGAGTCAGTTATTTCAGAACTGTTTTGAAAGGAAAAGAATTTGAAATCATGGCTACGCTTTTACTTTAAAATAGGCCTCAGGTCTCTTAGGAAATTCCTGCAAGGAGAAGGAAAAGCTTTGGGATCCCACACATGGAAGCTGGGCAGTATTTTATAGCTGAATTGCATCTCAAAACTGTAAAGTGGAATCCTTAACACAGAGTTAATACATTTACTTCATCCATTCTATTGATAGTGTACATTCACAATCACCATTAGTGAGAAGGTGAGAACAATTCCGCTATACTTTAATGAAAAAGAGTTCACTGAAAAATATGGGTAACTTCAGACCACTGATTTTTTCGTTAAAATCAGGTTATGTTTGAACTCTTTATGTTTATTTCCAGCAGAGGCTAGCAGTAATCAGACAATGAAAGCACATTTTCTCTGCATTTCTCTCCAAAATAATCCCTTGTTATATTGTTTTTGAGATAGCTGAAGGCTAATAAAAGAATCCTTTTGGGTCCTTAGAGAGGCAGTGCTGTGACAGAGGAAAATTCAGCCTTTTAAAACTATTCAGTTAAGCACTGTCACTTGTCTAGATAACCAGGCCCTTGTTGTGCCTCCAGAGACAAATCAAACTGACAAAGTGAAGTACAGGTGTTGTATAGTGGGTCTGGCTTCTTTACATAGTTTGTAATAAAGATTCCCACGTGAAAAGCCTGATGTGGTCCTAAAATGCTCTCACGAACGACTGATTTCTGCAGTTGTACCAGCTGCACAGGCACCCTCACTAACATATGGCAATGCAGTTTCTCCCCATTCCTACACTATCCAAGAGCAGCACTCTGGTTTTGCTCATCTAGCCACAGGTATCTTTGACCAACATTTATATAACCACTGCACTGTAAAGGTTTCCAATTCATTATTATTTTATATAAAACAGTTGCTGTCAGAGTTTGCATGACACCATGCCTCAAGTGGGGCCATATTCTATCCATTAGCATCCATTAAAGAATCATTTTATCTGTTTTCTAGACAAGAAGATCCAGAAGGATTCCATAAACCAGAGGGCTTGTACATACTGTGAACTCCCTGCACAGTTGTGTTTCCTATCTGAGAGACTGCTCCAATTGTGCAACTGCCCTTTCTATTATGTAATTCAGCTGTAATCCTTGAGAGAACAGCTTATGATTTTAGCTGAAAGTGGCATAAAGCCTTTTTTTTTTTTTTTTTTTTGTAGGGACAGAATGTGCATTTTCATGTTACAGCCATGTCTGCTTTCATTTTTAAAGTCACTTTATCAGAAAAAAACAAATTGAGATAAAAATAAGGAAAAACAACGTGACAAGCACTTTAATTTCCTTCATTTTTCTTCCTACAGATGGCCAACGACAGTACAGAGACAAGTGAGGCCGGGGAGGAAGAAGAAGACCATGAAGGGGACAACGAGAATAAAGAGCGCATGCCGTTCATCCAGTAAGAGCCAGAGGAGCAAGGAAAAGAGGAAGGATTGATCACATAGAAGGGAACAAGACTGCGAAATCTATTCTGTGCATCAGTGAACAAATGCTGTAGTACAGTGTGTGTTGTATTTGTCTGCAGTCAGCTGAGCTATGAGCTGTTGATCATTGTTGTTTTCAACTCAAGTGCCATTCTCATCCAGTGCAGTATTATGACATTCCTCTGTGATACCCAGTTTCCTTGTAGGAGTCCCATGGATTTTTCTGTTCCAGTTTAAAAGCCTTATTAACTTCCTGTGTAATTTTAGATGAGCATCTTTCTCATGCAAATTCCATTTGGGGTAGGGCTTTTTTTTTTTTTTTTTTTTTTTTTTTTTTTTTTTTTTTTTTTGCAATTTGACAATGATGATAATAATAAAAAGAATTCCCCATTCAGTGCCTGGCAGATTCTAATAACTGCAGGGAGGATTTTAAGTTTGGATTTTCAGTGTTAACATAGTTTTCCTTTTATGAACCACAGATAAAAGTTGCAAAGAAGATGAATTTATTTTCCTCATCTTTTAAACAACATTATCTTCATCTTCAAAAATACCTCATTTGTAGCTATAGAGTCTGAAATTGTGGAAGAAATTGTTAACTGAGGGACTTTGATTAGTACTGTATAATCACACTAGTCATCAGCACTTATAATTAAACACATTCAAAGTGCTAACTGTCTTGCTTCCCTGTTGATCTTCTGAGCAATCACCTCCTATGCTACAGGGAAAGAAAAGTCAGTGAATCACTTTTTTAGACCCAGAACTTTAATTGCCTTTAACCATTAGCATTGTTATTGACAATTCAACGATATCTTCTGCTAAGGACACATTAAAGTCAGCTGTGTCTGTAATCCAAAACAACTGTAAATTCAATGATTTTTAAATCTGATCAGCAAGAATCACTCTTCAGTATGTGGAAAGAATTTATTTTGTCGGTGGAGTGTAGAGCTCTGAAATCACTAACGGGTTGATAACTATCAAGCTAGAGCTGAACGACTACAGTGGTAAACCCTGTTAAAGATTACTTTTAGGCCTTAATCCCATCATAAGTTATGCATGGGAATAGTTTTATCTAGGTGAGCAGTTCTTTAAAAATCTCTGCTCCCTTATGTACAGTTTTACATACGTGATTATTTGCAGGATCAGGCATTCAAAGACCAGCTAGACTATCTACCTCCCACTAATGGAAACTGTATCTTAACATGACATGACATGAAAAAGAAATGTCCTTACTTTTCACCTACTCAAGAGCAGCTACTCAGGTCCTCAATGGTCTTGTTAAAAGAATTAGTTTAAAATGAGTGCAACAATCTAGAAGCACTAAAGGAACATCAGAGACCTTGTATAATGCCATATATCTTTGAATTAATATATTTTGTGCAAAAGAAAGTATTTCCCCAGGCATGCCCAGTTGTTCACTCACTATGAGTATTAGGTAGCAATAGAAGTTGCAAAACAATATATTAAAGCAGGGAGGGAGGGAAGGTTTCTCAGGCTTTTCTCAATGTGGAAAGGTGGATCCAGATGACTTTTATGTGTGGTTTTAGAGGATTCTCTCTTGTGTGTTTTTTCTTTTCCCCTATTTATTTAATCTTTGGTGCCTGAATATCAATGTCCATCTTTTTACACTGTGCTCATGAGGTTGCTGTTCTAATACTAGTTACCTGTGTAGAGTGTTCATTCTGAATGAATTTCCCTTGGGTTAAACAACTCAAAAATAATGAAAACTAGTAACTGCTGAGAAAAATGCTAAAAAAAATAAACCTTTTGTTGAAATATTTTTTAAAACAGAAGTTCAGTTTTCTCTAGATATTGATGCAGAACTTCATTATAGTTGATTTTCTTTTCATGCTGGACTTACTTCTAGGCCCAGCCGGGGACTCTGTCCACAGAAGACCACATATTCAGTGAGCTTTCCATGTATTGCGATTGCCAATTAGGCCTTTAAAAGAAAGGCCACTAAGTTTTCACCCCTCATAAGCTGAGAACAGTAGGAAATGTGCCCGATTTTGTTTTGCAGTTAGTGTAATGATGTTGTCCTGCAACAAACCTTAATATAACTAGGAATTTTGATTTGACGCCAAAGTGAGCAATATTGCTGGTAACCTTCGAGCTGGCAGTAAAGTGGCATTCTCAAGGCCTTAAGTTAGTAGAGCAAGCAGAATAATAAATCAGTTCTTCTGTTAAAAACCATAGTATGGGTGGCCCTAAATTTTCTTTCAGGACAAATACAGATGAGTAATCTTGGTCATTGACGCAGATACTATAGGGACAACAGTCCAGTGAAATCATTTTGGCTAGTTCTTTCTGGTTTTGTTAGCAAGGCAAAAATACTCTTCATGCTATTTCATAACAATTTTGGGGCCATTTTCTAATCAGCAGACCATCAATGCAGAGACTTGAGGTAATCGCAACGAGTATAGAGGAGTACTTCTGGATCTACCTTATTACAACAGCGCAGGTGAGACGTGCAATCACTGAGCTGTACTTAGCAGTATTACTATGGCATGCCTGAAGGTTACTCCTGAAACGAATGGAAAGTTTTCAAGTATCTGTAATTGAAGCCGGATTTATGTTAGCAGCGTTTGGCCCACAAGCCCTAAATATTTCAGAACACCATGAACGGTAGTATCAGCCCCTGTGGAGGTGGTAGAAGGCAGGCTGTACAAAACGATGGTGGTGGGATTATTACTACTGAACAGGTCTTAATGCAGTCGAATGAAGGTTTGCTTTTACCATTTACTAACCCTGTTGTTTAACCGACTCTTAGACAATTGGTTAGTTTCTTCAAGTGCAACAAATTATTTCTCAATTTGCCTTAAAGGAACTGTGAAAGTATTTCTTTAACTTAACTGATTAAGTGAACTGAAACACTGTTTAATTGTATTTGTTGCTTTAGAGCTTTTGTTATATTGTGCCTACAAAGCAAATTATGTTTACATAAAAATATAAATAAAATATTGAGCATAGCATTATCCTTGGCTCACATGTTTCGTTTTAGGATGATATTCACACTAGAAAATGGACTTGGAATTGGTTAAGGCAGTAACTTGAAGGCTTCATTTTCTATTTTTGCCATGGAGGGATATACAAAGAACTTTTATTATGGAGTACATTGGGGTTATTGAAATGGCTGAATAGGCTGTTTTACAGAACATTAACAATGTAGATATAAATGTTAAATGCTAATTCTGTTTTACGAGATACCATTTTAATGATCTAAGAACATTCAAAACAACATGTAAGCACGTCCAGTGAAGTGTTTAAAGAAGTTTATTTTGATATGCATAAACACCAGTTTCCGGAATTTTAGCACTGGGAAATGGCCTGACACGTAAGTTATTATCATAAAGCGCTTCTGTGTTTTGAAGAGCTGTATCTTCACATTCTGGTCACAAGTTTACATTCCCAGGTAGGGAAAGAGGGCTGAAAAACACTTGGTCTCAAATTTCTAGAGATAAGAATGTTTTGGAAAACAGAGTGGCTTTTTTTTTTTTGCACTGAAGTTCTCAGCTGCAAAGATACAGTTAAGAATGCAACACGCAGAGCTAAGCTGCTATTACTTGTTGTTTGAAGCTAGTAATGGGGGATAATAAGTCTCTCCATCTCTGTGGCTCATAAATGACAGCACAGTCACTGCTTTTAAAAAAAAAATGAAGCTTGAAAATGCCGAATGAGGCCCTAGGGAGGCGTCAGCTGGGGCAGCCCGTGCGGAGCAGCGCAGCGGGAGGGAGGCTCCGGGCTGCCGGGTCCAAGGCCTCCCGCTCTGGCTCTTTTCTCTTTGCAGGGCTGCAAACCTGACGCAGCTCGGTGTGAGCAGTCAGCTCGGCTCCCCTCCCGCACGGCAGCTCTGCACCACTACCCTATGGCACAGCTGCCGGGGAGGAGAATGGGCAGCTCCAAGGTTACTACCCACTCCAGAGGGCCAGGCTGGTAAAAAGCTCAAAAAAGAGCCATGCAGGGAACACCCCAAAATGCTGCTCCTTACAGTGAAAAGGTGACTGGCACTCATGCTACTGCTGCTGCTGTAACTACCCTTCAGCTGGGGCTGCACTAGCAGCAGCCCCATCTCCACACACCCTCCTGCCCAGGGCTCATGCCCTTTCTCTGCGGGGTTTCTGGTGTCCCTATAGTGCTGTGTCACCCTCCTCTGCTGTCTCCCAGGGAAAAACTGAATTTCCTGTTCCCTGAAGGATGCCAGGTCATGTGCACCTCATCCCTCGTGCAGGGAGGCACACACACTCCCAGGGCACGGAGCAAGGCTACACTGACCTTTCACATGTAAGGCCCTTTCTTTTCTCTTGTTCCCAGGAGTTTTGAATAAGATGAGAAGAAAAGTGCCCAGAATAAAAGCACTTCCAGCCTTCACAGTGATTTGTATTTCTCTTAAAACCTTAAATACCTGCTGTCATAGGAGATCACCTTTCATTTAGGAAGGAAAAAACCCTTCACAGCTGTCGGTAGAATCTTTGCATTTGACTGGAAGGAAAGCTAACATAACCTAAAAAACCAAGGGAAGGATCTTCAGGCTTGTGAGCTCTGCACCCCCATGGCACCGCAGTGCTCGGTGCCGGCCCCACAGAGCCAGGCACCCAGCCGGGCAGGAGGAGCTGTCTGGGCTCTGTGGCTGCCTGGGCTAGCGCTACTGCAGGGCTGCGATGTTCTCATGGAGCAGCTTTCTCTTCCTGCTTAGTGCCCATGCTACTGCGAGCTGGGAAAAGCAGCTGCGCTGGGAATAAACAGCAGCAGAGGAAACTGTTCTGCATTTGGGGACTGTGTGGGGAGGAAAGAGGTGGCTGCATCTCTGCTCAGAGAGCAGCAGCCACTACGCGCTCGCGCTGCCCGTGTCCTCAGTGCCCGCAGGCTGCCCTGTCCCCAGTGCAGCACCCGGCCTGCCTGCCAACCTGCTGGGAAGAGCCGCTGCAAACGGCTGCCTCCGGCCAGACACCGGCCGTGGCCCTGCCAAGCACCATTTTCCCGATAAGCTGCAGGCTGCAGTACCAACCGTTTTCTGCTCCTCCGCTGGGTGATCTTTAAAGATGTGTTTCTCCCCTGGAGAGAGGTAGGTGTCAGAGCCCTGCGCAGCAGGAAGCGGCGCAGCTTTTGAGCTGGGCTTTGAGCTTTTGAGCAGTGGGAGTGCAGATCGGCCACATGCACCGCTCCGTGCTGGGGCTTCAGCACTCTCCCTGAAGCAGCTCTCGGCTGCCCGGGGCAA